TAATTCCAAATGGTTTTATTTTAATTATTCAGCATGGAAAGTATATTTACTTTACCATACTATCACCATATTAGTTCTATTAAGTGTCAAAATACTAATTTTATCATCAAACAACATGAGAACTATAAGCAAACCAGACCATGACCAAGCAAGAAAGCGCAATGATCTAATGTGAAACAGCAAGTAAAACAAATCACTTTGGTGTGGATGTGTGTCTGATTTAAAGAAGTCAGTGTGAAAAAGCAAAGAAGGCCAGCAGGCATTTATTGTTGCCGTCCGGTTGTCTCTCAGCTTCTGGTGTTGAGCTAGGTTTGCTCACTCCATCTCTCCCAAGCAGAACAGACGACAGGATTTCCTCCGCTGCATCTTCTACAAACGTTTCAGCTACCGTGAGTAGGTGCAACCGAACAGCCAGGCAATTGGCATTACTGTCTAACTTTTGCAATTGTCCAGACTTGTACATATCATGCTTTCCAAGTTTTGATGCCAGCACAAGCACTGGAGTCTTTGGTCTGTTAAACTATTCTTGTTAGTATTTAACAGCCATAATTCCAGGTTCTGGGCTAAAAGACTGTTTTCTGATCCATTAAACATTCTTCCATCTGAAGAAGTAAAAGCCGTTCTCAACAATAGTAGGAATAAGATGTTTTTCTTCTTTGAAAGCAAGATCTTTCCATGAACTTTACAGCTGCAATGGAGTAGCATCTGGAAGAAAAGCGCTTGGGGCAAAGCATACCTTACTTTCAAAAACAAAAACATGCAATCTCACCCTGCTACACTGCATCTAAAGGTGTAATTCTGACCTGTTTAGGCAGGCTGATTATGAACTAAGAACTGAGACACACATACCCCAAATTCAGGTAAAAATAAAAACCACGGTACTGTTGACAGACATGTTCCAACCAGTTCAAGCGAAATTCAGACTCCCAGAGCTTAGAACAACCTCCTCATCTTAAAACAAAGGCAAACAACTGCGAAGTCAGTGATCAGCTAAGAGGTGCATTCTGGAAAAGACCAAAACTAACCCTGATAGTTAGGAGGTGAAATGAAACAGCTGTCTGGCTATAGGGCAGGAAACATCAACGGTTAACCAAACTATTTTACCTTTCCCCTTTTAGATTTACCTAGGAAGCATCATCAATTTACAAACTGGAGTTACAGAAAAGAGGTTACCCATTGATCCCTGAAGGGAACTAACCATGTCCCATTTCGGTTTGGGCGTAGGTGCCAATTATCTTGACTCCATGGACCAGAGGCAGCCATTTCTCCTTCTGAGCATCAGTCGTTTGGGTCTCTAAGGTTTTTTGAAACATGCTGAAGTGGAGACCGAAAGGTTCAGGAAAACTGCCCAAGCATGTTCTACAGGAGAGAAATAGAGGAATCTGGATCTCAGTCTTACTGTTACTGTGATCCTGAAAGGCTTTTCTCCAACTGTAGCATAAGATAAATAATCTCTTTGCCTATTTCAATCTTTTTTTGTCCCACAAGCAACCTCCAAATATGGAGGCATCAGAGGCAATGCTAATGGGAAAATAAATGTTTCTTTCAGGCATTTTATTCACCCTATGAATCCTGCTGTTGCTACGTAACTGGAAAAAATACTATTCTACAAAGATTCATGGGGAACTTAAAACTGAGGACGTGAAAACCAAATTATTTTCTCCCCCATCTCTCAGGCTTGGGGAGAATAAATCCCACTACTGCTAGTAGCCTAGAACCAGGTCATATTAGCTAGAAGCACTATGTATTGAAAAGGAGAAGGCTTCTTAGGTGACCAAGTGCTTTTCAGAAGAGCTCTGTATTACCTGTAGCTGCTTCTATCAGCTGTGAGATCAGGAACTCACCTTCAATTAAAATTACTGTTACAGGCTAGTGCTGGAGGGAATGGAAGGAAAATGAGACATCGAAACAGAAGTTATTTCATGAGAGAAAGCTCTGTTAATTTAGTAGCCACGATGGCAGGCAAAGTACACTCCCAATTAAAACAAGCTCCATAACAAGCCTGCTAGAAAGTTTCACTGTGTAAAAGCTTTGTAGTAAATAACAGCATCTTCCCTTCAACATTCTGCAGTCTGAACAGTTTTTTCATCTTCCATCAGCTGTACACGAATGCTTATTCCATCCAAATTCAAAGATGGAAGAACAAATGAGTGCTGTGCATGAATACCTACATACAAGATCTCTCCCACCTGCCCAAGATACCAACGAGGAAAACATATCCTTCCACCTCGAGGTATTAATACCTGCCCAGGGCGCACATTTAAGTTTGTTGCCAACACAGATCCACACTGCGTAGTGGAGGCTATGCATACTGTTTTTCAAATTACAGCAGCATTTCTGATTGGCATTTTACACCATGCCTGGAATGAGTGCCTGGGAGCAGAGAGTAAATAATTGATAATTCAAAACCAGATCCCCATGCAAACTGTGAAAATCAGCCTTATGGTGAGAGAAAGCAGGACAAAGCTTCTTCAGCACCACTGAACTGCATGTTGAAGATGCTTATGTTAAATGGAACAGTATTTAAATGGACAAGACTGAATGACCCATGGATTCTTCCAGAAGCAAAACTATTGTCATCAAGTAATCGAATACTGGTGATTAATGTATTAACTGTGCTTTAAGCTGGTGTGAGTGCAGGTACAGTGTCTAAAGTTCTTGGGATCAAGGCAGCCAGTTCTCTTACCAGAAAATATTATACTGCCTACAGCAGCACATATTTACAAAGCAGAAGTTATCAGGGTGACCAAGGGCTTAAAAATGCTACAAGGACAGGGAGACAAAATATTTTTCAGCATTCTGATAGTTTCCTACCTGGGTTCTTCTTTCACTCCAGGACTAGTATAGCAATAGCAGCACCCTCTACTCCCTCACTGCCTACAACGCAATTACCATGCATCTACTCCTTGGGCCCAAAAGGACAAACCTACAGGGAGAAAATGAGTGCTGACTTTGAAATACACCGTTTCAGTGCAGCTTGGAAGAGATTGAAAGTTCTTTGTGTATTTTCAGGAGCCATTAAGAGAACTTGTGAAAAAGGTGCAGCACATGCTTTGCCGTCAGAAAAATCAGGTCAGACACTGCTTCTTTGAAGGTAATGCTCCAGAAAAAAAACCTTAAAGGTCACACCAGCAACTTTCACTGCCTATCAGTAAGTTTAATTGCAAGTGCCAGATACTTCATGCTTAACTAGCACCTTCTCTGATAGGAGTAAGAAGAATGACATTTTGCAAGCAGATACTTTCTAACATCCCTGTGTCAGAAGGTCATACTATTTCACTGACTAAACATGCAGCATTTTAACAGCTTCTTGCATTAACAAAGCTGAAAGCAGAACTGAAAGCTAGCTAATTTACAGCAGAAACTTTTTATTTCTGCATACTCCACACTGAATGATTAGGATTTTCTTAAGGTGCCTTTTAACAACTTGAATGACAAGGAGAGAGAATCCCATTTTCCTCATGACACAGGGCAAACAGAAGAGGTAATACCTGTGAAGGGAGGAAGAACAAGTTTTCTTTCCTGCTTTTTCTTTCTCCAAGCTCTTACTCCTTCCTCTCCCCATTTCTACATTCCCACTTGGCACTTCCCACTACCGACACAGCTTGTTCTCCAAAGGCTGCATTGTGCAACTGTTGAAGCACAAGACTGAACGTGGCTAGCTGCATCTAGCACTAGCAATTTCATCAATGACCAAAGATCACCTCGTTGGTCTGAAGTCAGATTTGCTACAACAATCAGTGAGTCAAGAGGAGGGCTGCAGTTCCAAATCCACATACGGGAGAAGGATGTAATACACTAGTTTGGCAATATACATCTTTCCAGATTTCACTGCAACCAACACCACCCACATAGTAAAAGGCACTTGTATTTGACAGACGAGTTTGATAGCATATCTATCAGTGAACAGAGTACAACAGAAGCAAAGTCTATGTTTTCAGAGACTCCAAAGCCAAATGAACGATTGCAAAGGCATTCTCAGGCTGCAGAACTGGGTCACAGAATAGGGTCATTTACTTTAGAGCAAAATCCGTAAGCAAACTTTTCCAGCTTTTTCTGGTTCTTGAGGTAACTCTCTCAAGGAAGAGCATGAAGGATTGCCTCAGCGGAGAAGGAGCCGGGGGTATGTCTGACCTGTGCTTACTGGGCTTCAGAGTTAACAAATGCTGTGGTAATAATCTCCTTTTACAGCTGTATCAAAAAACCCAAGTCAGACTCATCCACTCCAAATTGATTTAGCAGTGGTTAGTAGGGCCCCTAGTACGGTTTTCTGGTTTGATTTGCTGAAAGCTACTCCAGGTCCTAACTTTAGTGTCAAAATGAGAAATAGGGACAAACTCTCACAGGGAAGTGCACGTTCATGCAATGCTTATGAACACAGGGATCGTCTGTTGACTTGCAGCTCTCGGATCTTCTCTTCTTCTGTGCCCCGGTTTCTCCCAACTGTTTTTCATGTCTTCATTTAATCCCATTTTCCTCAATGAAGGTTATTTAAATTTGAAGGTGAATTAAAACTGACCAGACTTCTCTCTTCAAAGAGCTATGTAACATTACACATCAGAACAATTTCCCATTTTTCATGCTGACTTACATTTTGCTGCAGTTAGACTGTAAAAGAAGTCTTAAATATTGGCACTTTAAGGCTGCTGGCCTTCATAAGCTGTAGTCACAGCAGCAACTGCAGCGCTGACACATGTTAAGACACAGGAAGAACTGACTAGATGAGAAGCAATTAAAATGGCTTCTAAATATATTTAATAGATCCTCTTATGTTTTGGAGTCCAGCAAAGCCCTTGTGGAAGTAGGAAGGAGGAACATTCAGCTCGACATGTCACAGCAGCAATAACTGTTTAAGCTTATCTCCAGGGCAGCTGAAGGAAGAAGCATTTCTCCTCACCTATTCATAAATCAAGCTATAAAGTTGGTCAGTCATGATACAAAGCTACCTACTGAAGTTCTGGTAGTATACAAAAGCTACAGGAAAACAACTAGCTCAAGATTCTCAAAAATTGCATACGTAAATAAATCTGTCCCTACTATCTGGGGATAATCACAAGGCGTGAGGGATTATTGGCAAAATATCTTAAGCTTCTATCTGTAAAAAGCTGACAGTCAATCACAATAAATACAACTTGACATCTGAATCCAGGACTTCAATCTATTTCATAAACTTCATTCAAGGCATGTCACAACACCATATCCATTCAATTTTCCAGTTTGGAAAAAAGAATAAACCCAAACACAGTTTCTCCAGGTCAGCTTTTACACAAATGAAGTCCCTTCTAGTTAGCACCAATTAGCATGCTTGCACATGTGATAGAAATAAACTTAATTTTGCAAGTTGGGTGGAGTTCACTAAGTTTAAAAAAATATTTGATACTCAGCAGGTGAGAAAGTGGACACAGATGTTAAAATGCAAATGAAATCAAAGGATTAAAAAATAATCCTTTCATTTCTTCCATTTATTAAGAAGCAGTAAGCCAGTATCCTCCCTTGCAGACACCAGACGTTACAGTAAAGAATTTGAATCAAGAATATTACCAGTATACAGTTCTTAGAGCAAACAAACTTCACTTGTAGGTAAGAAGTATATGTACTGCTCTTCATTATTCTACATGTTATTACAGAAGACACTGGAAAATACAGGCAGTCTACAGTAATTGCAATTATCTTTCGAAGTCCTGAATGTCTGCAGTTAGAATTGACTCTGGAAAAAAGTAAGCCTTCCTCATTGTTTCAGCTGATTTTGGATCATGAAATCTGACTAGTCACACCCAATTACTCATATCACAAGATATGGATGTATTATTTGGTACCTATATGAAATACTAAGCTTTCATCCATTTAAGAGTTAAATTAAGAATTACTGACTTAAGAATTCTGATGTTAAGAATTGCTGACTCCCAAATAAGTTTATGGAAAGACAAAACTAGAATCTATCATTTGACTACTTCAGAAAAGTCCTATTTTCATAAAATATTGTCAGTAATGCTACCAAAAGACAGCATTTACATTGCAAACTTTGTTGAAATTTACCAGCTGGTATGCTGGATAGACTTCTCCGAATTGTCTCCATAAAAATAACTGAAGAAACTTCCCTATCGCCTCCAATAATCCTTGTGTAGGAAAAATTAATGATTAAATTTTGCCATGCAGTACCTGAATACAGTCACTGAACTTTTTTCTTGTTATCACTGTCCACCGATGCCAATTTTCAAAAGAATATTTACATTACTTCCATGACAACTTTCATGACACAGGTCAGCGTAGATCAATTTCTTTGAAATTAAAACTACAGCAGACAAGATGATTTCAACTAACTAGTCCCAATATTCATGCCCTGAGGCCAATGACAGCTTTTCTACAAGTCCAGTCAGAGGGGGCTTGTGATTCTGCCAGTGCATTATTTAATGTGCAATGTTCATTTAATGTGCCAGAGGATATATTCATAGTATTACGTCCAGATTTCTAAAGCTGTGCAATCTCTCTGTTAAGCAGTTTCTGTTCGATTATATCAGAATGAGTTTAATAGAACTAAGGGGAGAAATACATCAAAGTCAGGAACTAAGTTCCCTGCAAGCTCGAAGGAATGAAACTCAGATGTAAAGACAGTTTTATTTTTATTAACTTCATCCAAGGGTAAAACTATCAGATAAACAAAAGGTCAGATACAACAAAAAGCCTCTAGGTCAAAGGGAACCACTGTAGCACCAGGAGCTTGGAGGGAGACGGGACAGATAGTTATAAACAAGAACTTATAGAAGTTCCAACTATCCTGGAACATTTTCAAGTATGCCTGTAATGCAACTTTATTAGGTCTAAGTGCAAAGTGAAGTAATCAGCTTTAAGGGATTTCATTAGAAGCTGAAATGTCATCAGATCTATTCAGATTCAAAATATTTTTGGAAATTTTTTCCTTTTGGGAAAAAAAAAATCAGACTACAAGTCCCATTTTTTACTTTCTGCACCACATAATAAAAAGGGTGTAATTATTAATGGTGCGTTTCTAGTCAAAAATCTAAGAAAACACAATATTCAGGAAATCAGGGTTTCATCTGAAATTCACTGAAGGCAAGACTTCAGCAGGCTTTCGTACAGGTCTTTAGCTTCTTTTGGACAGCAAACATAGGAAAAAAGCACAACTCTAATGTCCTTGGTGATGATCAAAGTACATACGAGAAGCAAACTCTACAGCTAGGTACCTTTTAAACCAGTAGATCTCCTCCGGATCTGCAATTCCATATTCTCTTAACTTCATCACCATCAGAGCGCTCTTCCTGATGGCTTGCTCATAGCGTTGGCTACGGGACAGGAAGTTCAAATCCTCATGTTGGAAGTCAGGGTCATTAATAACTAAGGCCTCTGGGGGCAGAACAGAAGAGGAAAACAAACTCAGTTTCCACAAACCTCAATAGACAGTGGACGAGAAACGATTCAGCATTTCACTTGCTGTACCTCAAGGTACAGATATCAGAAAATTAAAAACAAAATGAAAAGTTAATGAAATCAGAAAGAAGTCAAAGCTCTTGGAGAGAGGGACTCTAGCAACAGGGCGTTCTCCCATTCCACACATAAACCACATTTTAAGGTAGGAGCACTCTGGACTTGGCAGGAGGTTAATTCACTGATGTAAGACCTGCAGGCCCCTCAATAACAATCTCAAATCCTCAAATAGCAATCGTTACTGCCGGATCACACTGCCTCATGAACTTTGATCTCCATACAACCCCTTGCAGAAGGGCACAGCTATTATTCCCACTCTGCCGACTGGAAACCAAGGTACCCAGAGGCCACTGACTTTCTGCGTCCCCTTTGGCACACAAGTTACACAACACCAGCCTCTGACAATCCCACCCCAGTGCGGACTGGGGAAAAAAAAAAAAAGAGAGTAGAGGTATTTCATTAATCTTACATATCATGGTAGTGGTGGGTGAGAAACAGGTCATATTTGTACTGTTGGGCAAGAACGTACTAGGAAGGAAGAAGGAGGGGAGAGGGCCCAAGAGAAATGCCCATGGGAAGCTGCCTCTCACCCTCTGGAGGAAGAGGAAAAACAGAGGTAAAAGGACATTACTCTATCAGGGTGTCCTGGTTTAGGCAGGGATAGAGTTAATTTTCTTCCTAGTAGCTGGTACAGTGTTGTGGTTTGGATTTAGGATGAGAACAATGTTGATAACACACGGATGTTTTAGCTGTTGCTGAGCAGTGCTGACACTAGTCAAGGGCTTCTCAGCTCCCCATGCGCTACCGACTGAGCAGGCTGGAGGTGCACAAGAAGCTGGGAGGGGGCAC